TGCATTTCTGGTGAAATAAATGAATATGAGAATTTCTATTCCAAACAAACAAACAAAAAAAAAAAAAAAAACCAAAAAAACATCAGCTTTCGTACTGAAAGTCAGTACTGCACCTGAAACATTTTGAGACTACATAATTGTTTATTGATTTGCTAACTGTAAGGAGTTTGATTGTACAGAACTCCTCACTCTCAAGAGAAGGTGTAGTTCAACAGTACATCGCTATCAGGCAAATACATAAATTGCATTTGTTTGGGTGGTACTGCACCTATACTTGCCCAAGGAAGTTGAAATCTTTGTCTCCTTTCTGCTGCATTCCTGATGCTATTTGTTTTAATGATATCAGATATCAAAATGTGCAGTAAATGTACAACCAGGAGAATTTACGGCTAAGCTCTTCAGCCGAGTTGGTTTAACAAACTAACCCCCAGAATATTGTGTCTGTAATTCACATGCTCTATCTTTTGTATCATATGGGCTAACTGATAAACAGCAGCAGATCTAGGATTTCAGATAAGTTTGAGGTGGTTCGTTTTACTCGTTTTCCATGTTTTACTACAACCAGTTAAAAATATGTATAAAAATGCAGTTTGGTGTTGTTCCAGATAAGCAACTATTTTTAGTAAGATGATTAATTTTGAGTGTGAGCATCCAAGAAAGCAACTTTCTGATGTTTGCAGGAAGCAGTGCCTTACACTGTGACTTCAGTAGTTGGAGGTTGCTTACAAGCTGTTGTTTACAAACAAAATAGCTATTGGTGAAAGGTCTCCGTATGTCTGTGTTGCTTGTTTAAAGTGAAACGTATCTTCCTATCTTTGGAAAGATTTTTGGGGGGATTGGCAGAAGTCATAAGATCAGTCCTGAGTGAACCTATAAGATTTCATCTGTGGGATTACAAACAAGTTTTAGATTATGTTGTTGGTTGAAGAAAGTGTGAAAGATGGAAGCTCAGGAGATTTGGTGCCTTTTTCACTGTTTATTATGAGTTAGAATTAAAACTGAAGCAGCAAGAATAAGATCATGAATATGTGCGTGTTCATTTAGAAGGAAATGTTAAAAGAATGTTTGTTACAGGTACTGAAAGATAACATTTAACAGAATCACACTTCTTGCTTCATTTCTTCAAAACAGGGAGTCAGAACTTTATTTTTTGGTTATTTACAGATGTGCTCCACTAACCGTAGTAGGATATGCAAGGGGAGTGTTTGCCCATTAGATAATTAATTTGGTAATTACTGATTAATTCTTACTAGGGTACCATATCCATCCCATCTAGGCATGAGTATGCATATAATATTAAGCACAGAATTGTACACGTGACGAAGTCCCAAGCTCAGCAGGAAAAAACTAGGATACAATAAACAGAAGCTGGAAAGAATTATGACAGCTAATGAGAATTTCATGGAAGCACACTAGTAACTATTGTAAATGACGATCAGATGCAGTTTTTGGCTAGGCTTTTAATTTGTGGCAGATGAAGATATACCACACAATCCAGTACTTCTTCTTTGAGTGCCCATGTGTGGCTATTGCCAGAAGCAAGGTGCTGACCACGATGGGCTCTTGGCGATTTCTGTCCTCATAGTCCAGTTGCTGTTACATATCATCAAAAAAACAGAAATGTTGCATTACTTTATCTTCTGTTTCCTCCACAGCACATACTATCTACCAGAGATCAACCATTAAGTGTAGCTTGGAGAAAGGGTTTCAGGTGATCATACTGATGAAGAGAAACTAAAACTATTGCCAGTTGTTTCTGCAAGAATTAATATGTTTAATGACTACCTAGAACGCTTAGAATTCTTGTAATTTGTAATGCAAATAAATTCATATATTTAAATGTAAGGGTAAAACTGCATGTTTGTTTGCATATTCCAGACCATCCTTACAGATACCAGAATGAACTTGGAAAAGTGGGAGAACTGTGATTGTTCATTGTACTTCAGGTTTTAGTTCACTATAATATGATCTGTGTTCTTTTGTGACAGCAGTTACATTTCGGTTAAAATGAAACTTTGACTACCCAGTTGAATAATTTCACAGTTCATAAGGTCAACTAATACAATTTTCCCACATAGTCACTGCAGTATCTTTAAACCTATTTAGCTGCAGTATTAATACCAAAGGAGTGAGTTTTAGGATAGGGTTTGTTTGCCTACATAGAAATGGCTAACACCACCTGAGAGACATCACCTGGCCTGGACAAATAGAGATTCTTGTAAAGCAGTGTCAGGTACGTTGTAAACTAGCAGAATATTCTAAGCTTCTGACTGAGCATCTGGAGGTAAAGTGGAATGCTAGAAGGCATCCAAAATGACAGCATATCCATTATGTAGATAGCTGGATTCCACCATGTATATCATATTATCATTATGTTTGTCCTCTTAGCATCGAAGAAGGGATACATAATGTTCTAAGTGTTGAGTTTTTCTTATATCATCTAAAAGTGATAAAAATGTGGTTTCAGTATTAGTTCCTGCAAACTGTGTCTATGCATATTCAGTATATTCATGTATATTATCGACAGACTGAATCCACAGGTAGTGCAAGCAATCTCTACCATAAATCCATTCTAAGTCATTCTGTATCACTGCTGCGTAGTCCAGAGACATCCACATTTGCACAGCTTTGTAGCTGTGAAAATTATTTCTCTTACATTTCTTCAGCTTCATTGGATGGCTCAGCATTGTTTTGAAGTCCATACAAGCTATATTTTCATCTGTGTTTGACATAATTCCACTGATTTTTGGAAGATCAGCATTTGAAAACCAAATTTAGTGGAGGGTTGTGTGATTTAGCAAAGGATTGTTAGAGTTAGGGTAGTATGGTTAGGCTGTGATTGGACTTGATGATCTTTAAGATCTTTTCCAACCTGATCAATTCTGTGATTCTATGATTCTGTGAATTGTTGACTCTGCTTTATGGAATAGGAAGTGGAGATGCAGTCTCTAACACCAGTAACATGTCTTGCAGTTACAGTAACAGGGAAAATGTTTTTGCCCTCCTCCACTCTGAGTTTGAATTTGGACTTAGATTTTGAGTTGCGTTGGGAAAATGGAAGAGTACAACCTGGAAGTGAAGGGTCTTAAACAGATGGAGCAAGGTTTCCTAGGACACATCTGACAGACCTCCAGACATAATTCTTTGTGCTGCTTTGTGACTGTCGTTTGTATTACCGTTGTGTGGGACAAGTGCTGAAGTACCATTGCATGAACATTGTGCAGACTTGTGTGCAAACTCCAACTAATGTAAAGATACTGTTATGATTAAATATACTTGTTAATCACGGCTAATTTATAAATACAACGATTCAGAAAGTATTTTGTCATTCAGTACTCTTTTATAAAGCAATTGGTTATGGAGCTTTATTCCTGCTGAGTCGGCTCACTGCATTATATACATGCCACTCAGAAAAGGTTACCTAGGCAACACTTTGTTGGTCCTTTTAAGCCGAAATTTTACTTCAGTCATCAAATTTAATGCTGAGCATCTAGCTCAGTTTGATTTTCCCATCTCAGCAGCATGTACCAGGATGGAAAAAGAATGGCTTAATTTATGGAGTAGTAAACCTATAAACTCTTGCACTTACACAGTCCTCCAGAGGTCGGAATTCAGTAAGTTATGGCTGTGAGGTAAAAGTCATCTGCTGGCTTTCGTGAAAAGCTAAAAGCTGGAGGCAAAGGCTAGCCTCTTAAGCTGCTCAGGAGCCATTTTAGTGCCATGTGGACCGTCATACATTTTGTCTGCATGTTTTTTTCTAATCTTTTGATGACAATAGCAATTATAACCTAGTCACTTTACTGTTGTCTTACAATCACATAAATCAAGTTTCACAAAATGTAGGTGTTAACAAAACAGTCTTCTGTTGATATCAGTACATAATCTACAAAGTAGCTGCAGTCCGTTGATGTGTCAAGAGAAAAACAGGAGCTTACCTCAGTCTGTCAGTGTCAGGTCTGTCACAGAGTCATACTGCTCTATGAAAAAACGACTGAGGAGCTGAAGAGTATTCAGCAGTTAGTTGTTGAATAATTTACAGCACTCCAGCCATGGAAGCCAGCCATTATGGCTCTGTGACTCCAGTAAGATTATAGTCTTGTAGGTGTGCACATCTCTTAACTTCTTGCTCATTCCTCAAGCTACTCTTTTTCAGACTTCTTTAGTTGTCATGGAACACTCTTAGAAAATGTTTCCACAGTCTAAGCAGAACCTGCGCACCTGTCTGAAAGAACCGTTTAGGCCATGTTTTTTTCCTCCTGCCTTGTTCTGTGGAATAATACAGATCCATGTGCAATTCTGGAGATTTTGTCTACCTGTGATAAAAGCTGAAAGATTATTTTTTTTCATAAACCCAAAAGGCTCAATCATTCTTTCTTTGCTTTCTTTCTGTGGCAGTCTAAAGGACTCTATTTTGTTGGCAGAGGCACACTAGGGAAAGAGCTCATAGCACCTTAAAAAGCAATATATATGCATATATATATATATGCACATATATATAGTTAATTTGCATGCTTATAATGCATATATCTTTGCATTTATTTGTATATCTGTGATTGTATACCACGACACATATATTAATGTATATATCAATCTATGTGGCCAGGCTTGGGACTGTGCAGACCAGTTTTAATCCTTGGTTAGACAAGCCCACATCCCAGAGGAATCCTGTGGGATCACAGAGGTGTTTCAGAGGCACAGGAAGAGTAAAATTCCCTTTCAGGGAGAAGGTGCAACAGTACTGCATGGATCCCAAGGGACCAGCATCGCTTTCAGCTGAGCCACAATTTGACATCCTTGGGCAGCCTATTCTGGAGGGTACCATATAGTCTGGCCAAAACTACTATGTCCTACCTGATGTTGTTAAGAGTAGTGCTGATTTGATGTTTTCAGCTCCCATGGGTTCTTACTGAAATACTGTGCAATCCTATGGACTCTCTTTAAGCAGTCCTTAGCCTTATTTAGCTATTTACATAATCTGCGCCCTGCATTTTTTTGTACAGAATGAAGAGGACGAGGACCAGCCACTCAGCCTGGCCTGGCCTGACACCCCACGCAAGCAGCTCACCTACCTTCTTGTACTGCCTATTGTTTTCCCTTTGTGGGTTTCACTCCCGGATGTCAGAAATCCTGTGAGTACCTGCTGTTACAAGTTGGGGCGTACTGCATAGCTGGGGGTTCTCAAGCTGAATGCGTGAATGTCTCCAGAAAGAAACTGGACTCCAGAAAGAAAGTGAGGACGTTTTTGTTTGTTTGTTTGTTTGTTTTTAATAAAAATGATGGCTTATTATACATTTCTTTGAGGAGGCAACATCATTAATCTTCAGATCTACGTATCAGTGCTTACGGGCAACTGGTTGGTAATAGCTCCATAAAAATTGCTATTCTTATCATTGATATTTTATGAAAAAGAATGAAAGCTCTGAAAATTTCTTCAGGGCCTTCACATATGCATTTCTAGATCTCTGCTGAAGATTACATCAGTACTGACGAATTCTGTCTATCTTCAGTGTCCTAAAGAGTGACACCGGAAAGATTTTAGTTCTGTAGTTCTCATATCAAAATATGCATTTCTCCTAAATGTATGCTAGACCTCTGTGTTCTACTCATCTTTTAATTTTCGATCTAGAACAAGATCCAAAGTCTTTCCATGTTTAAAACACTTATTAGTTTTATCCCCAACCTGACTTAAAGTCATGTGAGACTGCTTCCTAATAGAAATAGACTTAAAATTACTAGTTGACAAGTCTTACCACTCTTACATTCTCCTATCCATATAATACCAAGACTCATAGAAAGTAGAAGAAAAGGAAAAAAAATAGATGGAAAAGTCTTTTTGTAGTGATTTAATCTCCCTTCCTTTCTGGATCAAAAATAGATTTTAAAGCGCTGCAAGAGAATGATACACAGCATAAAAGGTTATAAATCAACACCCTGAATTCTTTTTTCTTCCTTATCATATTTGCCATCCCACACACTCGAATACTTCAATTCAGTACAAGAAAAAAAGCTAAAAGAGGACGTCTGATTTGTTTTTAGATAAAAGTTTCTCAAAGGATACAAAGCGACCTTTTCCCTTCCAGCCTTCAAGCTTTATTTTCTTCAAGTTTTCAAATAACTCTGGCAAAGTATTTTTGTTTGGTAACACAGAAAAACATACTACATGAATTTCTAGATTGTTTCTTTCTTTCCTTATGTCCACCTTTTATTTGAATTTTGTTTCTTCCCTTTGAACACGTGGACATATTTATTATTCTATACAGTACAAATCAGGATAGTTGTTACAACAATAGTTTTGGAAAGCAAATATCTTATGAACTTTTGTGCAACTTGTGTGTAATGTGTGAGTATTCACACTTGTACTGCTCACAGCAGAGCAGACATTCCGCAACTAAAATAACCTCCTGTAACATAAAAATTAAGTACAGTTTATATGCCAGCTATGTCAGTGAGCAACAACATTTTAAAAATTAATTCAATGAAAAGTGCAGGCTTTTATACAGAAGCAAGACAAATGTGGATTGTAATTACATTTTGTAATAGCAAAAGAGGTAGCAGGCTACTTCAGTAAAAAGCCGCATTCTTTGAACATTACTGTCAAAGAATTAACCAGATGGTTGCATAAACTCTCTGTGCCCAGCTGTCTAACTTTACAAGGATGCTTCATTAGAGTGTTTGTCTCTAAAATATTCTCACAGATGCCTGTGTGCCATCCCCTCTCCTCCCTTCCTAACAAAAAGGAAACACAATTTCACAGCTCAGCATGTGCATCAGAAAACAAGTTTTCATGAAACCTGTGGGGCAAAGTTAAAACACTAAAACAATATTTAAATAGATTTTGTAGGTAGGTCTACTGTCATGGGCTCAATTTGCAAGTGTGGTTATTTTAGTCAGAAATCCAAATTCTACATCAGAATGCTCAAATTAGCATGTGGTTGTACAAAATGAGCACTAGTCTGCTAAACACTGCTTTGAGAGACCATATGGAGCCTTGCACATCCTCTGTGGGTGTCCACTTTTCAAAAGTGAGTTCTTTCCTCGTAGAGTTTCTTTGTTAAAATATATTTTATCTCCACTTGGTGAAGAAGGGTTGATTGCATTTACTAGTATTAAATCAAGCTGTACTTTTCTCCTTAAGATCCAGAATCTGTAGAAAAATTGTTTCATTTACCAAGAACTCCTGTTATGAAGTCTGCAAAATCCTCACTGCCCTGTTATGCTCTGTCATGCAGATGTGCAGATGTATATATATACCTAGAGTGGATTATGTAATAGTTCAACTAACTCCTCAACTGACCTGCTTAAATGTATGTGTAGTGCTTGTACAGTTAGGGCTATCAAAACATTGAAAGGATGATGACGTGACCAAGGTGATCCACAGGTCCAGTGGTGGATATTGAACAGCATCTCATTTGTTATATTCATACTGAGCTAGCTACCCCTTCATGAGCCAGCAGTGTGCTCTTGCAGTTCAGAAAACCAATGGTATCCTGGGCTGTACCAGAAGTGGGGTGTCCAGCAGGGGCAGGGAGGTGATTGTCCCTCTCCGCTCTGCCCTCGTGAGGCCCCATCTGGACCCACAGATCTGTGTCCAGATCTGGGGCTCCCAATACAAGAAAGATGTGGAGATGTTGGAGAGGGTCCAGAGGAGAGCCATGAAGATGATCAGAGGTCTGGAAGCACCTCCTTTATGAAAACAAGATGAGGGAGTTTGGCTTGTTCAGCCTGGAGAAGGATGTGAGGAAACCTTATTGCAGCCTTTCAGTATTTAAAAGAGGATTATAAATGGGAGGGAGATCAACTTTCAGGGGGACTGCCAGGAGGAAAGTTCTTTACAGAGTGAGTGGTGAGGTGCTGGAACAGTCTGCCCAGCAGTCTGCCCCCCATGTGGCAGAGGGGTTGGAGATTCATGATCCTCGAGGTCCCTTCCAACCTTGGCCATTCTGTGATTCTGTGATTCTGTGAGTGGGTGCTCTGTCCCTGGAGATGTTCAAGGCCAGGTTAGATGGAACCCTGAGCAACCTTATCTAGTGCCAGATCTGGAGGTTAGAATGGCCCTGCCTGTGGGATCCTTGAGGTCCCTTCCAACCCAAGCCATTCTGTGATTCTATGATTCTGTTACAGGCTATCAGTAGTCCAGTTCTCTTGTCACTTGACCCATATGGTTCATCTCTGCAAATTCCCATCACCAGCCAAGAATTTACATGAACTCTCGTTGCCACACAGAGATGTACTGTTACCAAGGGGACAAGGACAAGATGTTCCTTTACAGATCCAGTTACAGGAACAGGTTCTGAGTAATCAGATTTAAGCACTGTCAAGTATGGAAGGAAAATCAAAGCTTGAATACGGATAAATTTATGCTTGAGGTAAACACATAGTTCATTCAGGTTAAAGTAAAGATATCAGTAATAATGTAGTCTAAAATGAAGACAGATACTTTGCAAATTACTAAGGACTCACTGTCTTTTAGGATCAAACTCTTAGATGAAAAATCTTCACTTTTTATCATTCTTTCATCATTCCACTTGTTTTCAGAACCTGTTTTTCAGAGACTAACATGAATTCAATACAGAAGTATAACAAGAAAAATGTCCTTTAGGTTACTATAGACAGGAAAAGTACCAAACCAACCAATTTACAGCAAAGCTATGAAGTTCTTTCTCTTTTGTTAAAAGAAAATAGCATATAAACTGAATCAACCATGGCTCTTCTCCTTTGTCTGTTACCATGACCACAACAAAACCAATTGGTAATAATCAGGATTCTCTCTCTTTGTAAGGCAACCATCACAATGCTACCAGAAAAAAGTGGATAAAAGTGTTCCTCTCTGTTTTCTCTGACTAATTCTTTTAGGAAAATACTTGGAATTAGCAGCCCTGTATATTGTAAAGAGATATATCAAAGAGATATATACAAAGAGATATATCTCAAAAGAACACTGTCAGTAGTTACAAAACAAGTTTGGTTGTTACTTTACTCTGGAAGAAAAATCTATCATTAAAAAAAAAAAAAAAAAAAAAAAAAAGGAAGGTTGCATTCTTATTTCTTCTTTTTAATCATGTAGTAGCATTTATGGCATCCATCCTTGTTTTCATTACTTAAAGGATGCACAGGTTTCAAATTTTATCCCTTTTGAGTTCAAACATCCATCTTTTTAAAGTAGGTAATGAAACTGCTAAGTCTATCAAAATGCTCATAATCTTGAACATCTGCCCATCAGTTAATTTTACTGGAGGAAGATTGAGACTGGGAATACACAGGCTGCAAAGTTAGTGGCTGATAATCTTTAGGCAGCCAGTTTTCCACGTTATGCAGACGTGATTCTTGCAATGCCCAGTTATTTTGCAAGAGCTTGGTATATATAATCCCATACTCTCATTAGGCCAGTAGCTATTACTGGCCAGTACAGCTACTGCTGTATTGGATTTGCATAAGCCAGTGTGTGTGCTTATTTCTGGAGTGCTGTATATTGATCACTGAATTTCCCCTGCTATGATGTTCTCTTGTTTAGATTTTGTGACCAGCTGCAAGAAGGTTGCCTACTCATTCACCACATATACTGCAAAAAAATTCCCATTTTTACATGGAAGATAAAAAAATGTTGCAAGTTGAAAGACTTAACTGCTAGCAGTGCTGAAAATAGATCTACTAGCCTTTAAATTTAAAAAATGAAAATGCTGTTTAGATTTATTTATCCCTTCTGGACTTGATTCTTCTTTTTCTGGTGTAAGATTGCTGCTTTTTGGCCATCCTCTTTTTCCTTTAAATATAAATCTCAGACCAAGGTTCTTAGTCTCCCAGTGCATTTAAAAATTTGATTTTTAGAATCAAAAGGGCATATGATTTCTGAGTCAGTTTAAACATTGGAATTTAGTTCATTTCCAGATTTTCTAAATTAATAGAAGTTCAGAATTCTGTTTCAAAAAAGTCACTCTGTTTGCTCCATAAAGAGTTAAGAAGCAAGTCAACCAAAGCTGTTTGGATTAGAAAAGGTGCTTGTGACAATAGGGAAATATATATTAAAAATAAGTTTTCAGGTGCTGTTGTGGTTATTTATCCCTTATTTAAACAGTTAATTTAAACAGTTTGCTGGAATGATTTTCTTACTCTAGCTGAAGTTCAGTTTCTTGTTTATGTATTTCTGCATGTTTCTGGGAAGCATTGTTAAATTTTCATCATTAATGTTGCTGTGAATATTCAATTACAGGATTGTTTTGGATGTGCCAATCAGTGTTTGCAGCCCACTTTTAAGGAGGACATTTAGCTTTATGAGAAGTACTGCAGAGAGTGAGGAAGTGTTCTTTACAGTACAGCCCATAAGAGCACCTGCTGTAAAGCTGATCTAGATGTCTTACTTGTCCTTTGTCATTGGGTGTGTATTGCATCCCTTGCTTTGTCACAGTTTGAGAGAGTTGAGCTGCCAGAGATTCACAGCACATTTTCCCCGCAGAAGTTGTGTTGATGGAAAATTTTTCAGTCCTGTCTGATCCCAGAACAGCCAGGAAGAGCCCATAGGGCGCATCAGGGCCTGGTGGTGCTGCAGGGGAACATCTCTCAGTGCAGAGAGCTGCAGGCAAGGTGCACTTCCATAAAGGCCCATATGCACAGCAGGAAGTGGAATGAGAGCAAAATGGGAGGAGGTTGCATAGGTCTAAAAGCAGCTCATACAGGTGGTCAGGTTGGTATAATTGGCCTTGTCTGGCAGTCCCTAGTTATTGAGGTAAATCTGTAGCAGTCTGCTAACAGCACGTCAGAGGTCTTCTGCAGTAAAGATCTTTCTTCAGCTGGTGAATGTCCATAAAGAGTTGGTTTCTTTCAAGATTGGTAGCATTTATTCACGGTGTAGATTTCATTTTAAACAGTAATTTGATTTATACAATGATATGCTTAACTACAGTCATGTTTACTTCTTATAGTAGTTATCACTTTTCATTACATAAATCTAGCAAGCCAGTGGGAAATGAATGATGCAAAAGACTGGAAAGAACAAAAACCAAAATAAATCATTTATCTGAATATAGCCTATTAGTTGGCTGCAATTATACTATTTATTCAAAGCTTGATATTAGCAAAGGAAACACAGAAAATGAAAATAAGGTTTCTCTGGTGTGATACAGATCATGGAATTCAGTGAGGGACCTCAGGGGGAGCGTTTTATAATGTTTTACAACAAACTTCTCCACAAAGCTAAGCGCTGCAAATGTATTCTTAATGTATTTTCTGTTCTAATTGAAAAAATGGGCTGTTTTCCCAAGAAGTGTTAATATCCCAATAAATTTTGGATACATATTTTTCTAACTACCATATGACAACATCTGTTACAGTGACTGCAAGTGATGTTGCAGAAAGCTGTTAATATGTGAATGAAATGTATGCATACTTGTATGCTTGAAAACGTTCTTTCCCAATAGGCGTGAAGTTACTAATAAATTTAGATTCTAAATCTCCATTCAGCTCAACACTGGCAAGTTGTAGTGTAACAGCACATGACAGAAATAGACAACAGAAAACCTGCCATTTGTTATGAAAGCTGTTGTTCAGAGATGAATCTTGTCATAGACTACTTTATAGCAGAAGCCAGTACAAGAATGAGGCACGGGTAAACACACAGCAGTGAGGAAAATCATTTCTTAACACTCTTAACTTTCATCTTGATGATATGATGCTGATCAGAAAAGATAGAACAGGTGATCAGAAGAAGTAAGAGATCACTTAGAGAATAAATAAGAATTCTGCAAAACAGCCTTCAACATAGGTGTTCACTGTTTGTCTTTGTTTCTTTTGCAGAGGTCAAGAAAATTTTTTCCTATCACGTTTTTTGGTTCAATCAGTTGGATTGCATTTTTTTCTTACTTGATGGTCTGGTGGGCACATCAGGTAAGAGGGTGATGCTTGTGCAAAATACAGGTTCTGCATTGTGTTCTGCGCTCTGATAAACCATTCAGAATCAGGGTCCATTGTGCCTCTCATGCTGAGAAATCCTCTGTTTCAGGAGCTGCAACAGTGGATGAAGTAAAACAGTACTCAGTAAATGGAAAATAGTTGAGAGAGCTGTGATTGTCCTGACCACAGGATTTGATCACTCTGGTAACATCAGCAGCTACTTGTCAATGCCTACTGATTTTCTGTGAAAACAGTAATTCTCCAATCCTGATTGTATTCTCAAAGACAAACAGGAAACTCCAGGATAATATTCCTTATTAAGCAGCTTTATAGCAGAAAACATGTCTCCACCACAGGACTGCAACTCATGTGTGTTTTTTTTTCTGTTTTTGCTCAAACCTTTTTAGGTTGGAGAAACCATTGGTATTAGTGAAGAAATCATGGGCCTGACTATTTTAGCTGCTGGCACATCCATTCCTGACCTTATTACCAGTGTTATTGTAGCACGCAAAGGTCTGGGGGACATGGCTGTATCCAGTTCTGTTGGAAGCAACATATTTGACATCACAGTGGGGTAAGTCCTATAGCATGAAAGCTGTGTTTTAAAAACTTTTTTGTTCTTAGCATTGTTGCCTTAGATTTGTGAAGGCGTTGCCAACAGTTTTCTGCTTTTGATTTGAAAAGGTTTGAAAAAGAAAGTGATGAAAATAAGCAATGGATGTTACAATTTTATGCGTTCAGAAGTCTATAGACATTTGAATGATGGGCTTGCTACAGACTTGTTGCCTGATTTACTCTTTTACTCATTGCAGAACCTCCTAGGCAGGTAAATTGCACTTGTAGTAATTCAAAGGCTTTGTTCCAAGAAGAAATTTTTGAATATGTTTATGCTTTTGTCAGCTATTATTTTTTGATATTTTTTAATTTTGAAAAAAATTTGAATTTTTTAATATTTTTTCTTTTGAGCTATTATGCATTGAACTTTACTAGGGCTTTCTTTATAACCACTGATCAACAAATAATTCATTGCCTTTACAGTATTCAGTGCATTGTTAAAAACAAGTTGACATCAGTGTCTTGTGTAGCTTTCATGAGCTGTTGTTCTTTATTTTTTATTGTTATTTTAATATATCTGACAAATTCCAAGTTAAAAGCAATTGCAAAATTTCTCTTTAACGCACAGGTGTTTTTGTATAGGTCTAACAATGTGAAGCAATGTAGAATTCTGTGGAAATGCTCTGTTTACTGTTTCACAGCAGCCCTAGGGAAGGGATGTAAGGCATGCAGTTGGGATTCAAGGTCCTGTTTGATCCACTGAAATCAAGCTAGTCCTGGTCCATCCCATGTTATAATTTGTGCCTCGGTATTTCAAAATTGTGCATGAGATGGAAAAACAGAACTGTCTTTATTCCTTCCCATCTTCAGCATAGGTAGAGGCATTGAGAATCATGTCCATGCTCTGTTTTTCTACCTTTGGCTGTTTTTTGCACAAGAGCAGGCCTCTTTGTAGTTAGAGTCCAGTCAGAAGAACAGTACAAGTGTGAGCTGCTAAAAATGTACCAGCAGCTGCGCTGGTACTAAATGAGATCCCAAAGTTTAAGGAAACAGCTTTTTTACTCTATTTCTTAGCTAATGCGGTACCTTTGGATGCTGCATAAAAAATGGGCCATCTTTTTTTTCTCTTAATCCAGAAGCAGGAGGGGTTTGAAATTTTTAGGAAGGGTTTGAATATTTTAGCAACAGACCTGCAAGACTTTTGAAAACCTTATGCATTATGGAGTCTTTCAATCTAGAGCGTGTAGGGTGCATGGCAGAACTTTTCTCTTTGGCAGTACTTTATTGCTGTAATATATATTTTAGTCTCCCTAGCAGCAGAAATGTTGTTGTCCTCTAGCACAGTCTGGTAGACTTAGCCCCTGAACAAATAAAATGGCACAGTGTAGCTGCAGTTTGGTTTAGTTAGCATTGAGGCTGTAGAGAATTATTATCTCTTGAGCTGCTTATTCAAAGCTTGAATGTTGTGAGCTTCTGACAGCTCTCTTCATGCATCCTAAGCCTGCTAAGCTCTGATCAGGGGCTTAAATATTTATTTCAGCTTGGCATCTTCCTGAGGGATGTTGCCTCATTCTGTGGCATCAAAGATGAGAAATGTAATGACAGTAAACACAGAAATAGAAATTAAGCTAAGGTTCAGTAGAAGTTCACATTTTTGTGCAGGTTTTATAGTAAATGACTTCATGACTTTGAAGGGATGAATTTTTTGGATAATGCTTTGTGGAGTGCTGGTTCTTTATGGGAAGGACACATCAGGTGAGTCACGCTTTTGCTGGTGGGCTCTTGAAAAGGCACTGGAAGTACGTTCTTGTGCAGATGGTGCAAAGTCCTAAGCAAACAAAAGAGTCTTCCTGCTCACAGGCACACGTTCAATGATTTCTGTCAGCTAGGGGAAATACCATCCACCAATGTCATGGTGGAAGGAGAGTGGAGAGCCTGAATCCCGTGCTACCACAAGCATGTTGTTAAATCAGATATATGCACACATTAGAAAATTTCATGTCTCATTTTATGAAGCTTCTGGTTGAATTTTGAAGTACCTCCAGAAACTTTCCCTTTTCTAGATCTCTGCTGTTTTTCCAATTTCTCTATTTTTCTTCATATTATTATTTTTTTTTCTTTTTACAGCCTTCCTCTCCCATGGCTCCTGTATGCTGTGATTAACAACTTTTCTCCGGTGACTGTCAGCAGCAATGGTCTGTTCTGTGCGATCGTCCTCCTCTTCATCATGCTGCTCTTTGTCATCCTCTCCATCGCTTTCTGCAAGTGGAGGATGAACAAGTTCCTGGGCTTTCTCATGTTTGGGCTTTATTTTGTGTTCCTGATTGTCAGCGTCCTCCTGGAGGACAAAGTGATCCAGTGTCCTGTCTCCATCTAGTGGAAAGTGCTGATTCTTGAGAAACAAAGTTATAGATGTTTATTTATTCAGTATATATATATCAAAATGAAATGGAAAAAAAAAAAAAAAAAGGAAAAAAAAAAAAAAAAAAAAAAAAAAAGCCGTGATGGAAAAAACTGTAAGCCTCCTACCCTTCAGTTTTAAAAGAGAGAAAGAAAGAAAATGATAGAAAGAGAGGAACTTGGAGTAAAGACTGATTGCTGCAAAGCAGTGCGCTCGCACGTGGAGCTGTGCCGAGGTGTTCTTCGCTGGCTGCAGAGCAACCTCGCCACTCAGCACTGGGGATGCTGCACACGCACTGAGAGGGTGAAAGCTACTCTTTCTCTAATGCCTATGGTACACGTCCACAGACTTCTTTCTCTCTGTCATAGAACACACAGATATACGGAGTGCTCATTTCTTTAAGCTATAATCTTCTAAAGGGGAATGCTAATTCTGACTTTGGGGAGGCACCACCTCCCACACATCATGGTATGGGATTTATCTGTTGATCTCCTGATGCTGCTGAGTGGAAAGCGTTTGCTGAGTGCATGAGTTGCAGGAAGGGAAGATCTTGCATGTCTCTTCATTGAAGTGGACTAACATGTTGTGATTTCAGCAGAGCCAGGGAGTTACCAGTGATTTGATCCTCTGCATCACGGGACTACAACGGCCATCAGCAGGATGTCAGTGATGATTTATTACATCTTGCAAAGCTCTTCAGACTGCTGAAACCCCAGTGCTAGCGCTGAAGGGACTGTGTTTGCTGGCCAATATGTGACTGATGCAGATTTTCACTCTACTCACAGGCAAGGCCTGTCCGGGGATTTCTGTCTGGGGATTTGTTGTTTTCTCTGATACCAATGCAGCATGCAAAGAGATGATACAACTGATATGTGAACACAGCATTTTTTTCTAATGCAGCAATACTACCAACAGTACCAATGGCTTTCAGATGCTGTTACCATGATGAGTTTGCCTTTGTTGCCAGAAGTAAAAGGCTAATTTGCTTATGCGTAGTATTTCATACAGAAAATATAGTTATAAAATGGCAGCCTACTTGCTGAGGTGGATATATGCTTTACAAGCTATCTTTTTCCATTACTTGAAGTATAAAGACCTTCACAGCTACAGATAGTCATTGTTGGAAGAAATACTCAGCTGCTGTACAGAGCTGAGGCAGTTCATTTTGCTCATAAAATCCTTATACTAGGTATGAAAAAATAGTTTAAATGTAGTGGAACTGCAGGAAACCTACATGAAAATTCTTCATTATTGCTGAAAGTGTGAATGTCCAAAGAAGCCTGGGAAGGAGTGAAAATGCAACATTCTTTTACTGAAATCCTGAGAGGAGAGGAGAATGTCCAAAGCTAGAACAAAATATATAATCATAATAACAATAGGGAGAGAGAAAGCTATGCAGTGTTCATGTTTCCTGGATGATTAAAAAATGGGAGAACTGGAACAGGTGTTAAGAAATTATTTCAGATAATCAGCGTTTGCTTCTTCAAGGCTTCCTTTGCAGTTAGAGTTCATGAAATTTCAGTATATATCTGTGACCTGTTTCAGCATTGTTCTGTATTCGTATTGTGCTCACAATGACATTGTAATGCTCGCAGCTGTGTAACAGAAGGCTCAGCACATTTTGTCTCGTCTGTTTTTCTGATGCTGTCATCATGCTTTCCTGCCTGTTTTCCTTGCTGTTTGCTTTTCACTCATCCCCTTGTTGTTACTGTATTCCTATTACATGTGTTTGTATATAACAGTAGCTGGCTTGAGTAAGTCCAAGAGTAAGGACTTGAGAGAACACAATGGTGGAGAAAACAGTAAGAAATACACATTAAAAACTATTGAAATATTAATATTGTGAGATATTATGAAAAAAAAGTGAAATACTATTGAGCAAAAGCAAGAAAACTAGGAATTACAATGTCTGTTCCTCATGTCTTATTCTAAGATATTAAGTCCTAGTTAAAGAATTGCATTCAGAAGCAGCATTGGATCTTTAGCATACACTTGCAACATCTCTTGCTTCTTAGTGCACTTTGGTGCAAGCTTTTCTCTCATTGGGAGCAAAGAACTATATTTAAAATCCTATGTTGCTCCAGAATCCTCACCTATATTAACCGTAGTGCTACGGTCCTCTTAACATTTGTTTCTGTGTATGTGTGTACGCAAGGGAAAGATTGGTGCAGACATCCTTACAGTGTCCTCTGCTGAAAAGAGCAGCAGTTCTGCAAAAGCAAATCTGTGACCCAAATTCTGAGCTCAAATGGAGCCAGTGTCCCAAGAAGCAAAGCTGACTGCAGTATAGCCTGCCCCAGGAGAACCACAAAATGCTTTCTGTTTCTGATGACCGTGCTCAAGGCAGCCTTTTGTGTGACGCAAGTGATTCTTTACCAGGTGAGCAGAGTAAGGCAGTATGACCTATGAGAGGGTGTGCAGGATTGAGATGGGTCTGTGCAGTGTACGTGGCCACTTACAATATACAGAATACTCAGATTCAGTGGTTTACATTTTAAAGCAAGAAACAAAGAAAGACCAAGAGTCTGATCTATGTTCCGTGTATTACTCTGTTGTGTTTTTTTGTTTGTTTGTTTTTTTCTTCTGCACATACACGGGCATTGCAGTGTAATCCATGGAATGAAAAGGAAAAACCCCTACTGGGAGCTGTACGAGCACACTGATGTGCTCTGCAAAACTCAGGCAGCAACAGCGGAGTGCTGCCCCACTAAGGGCAGGCAGGGAGTAAGGAGTAAGGTTTGAAAGCCCTGTGCACTGCGAGCATATAATTCCAAAGATGGCATGATTACAGACTGGAGGTATAACTGTGTGTGGCTAAGGCTGCTGTTCTATAATGGCATTCATGCACTGTTAAAATAACTGACCTATTTCTTTCCTGGAGGACACTGTCTTTGTCTGCTTGCCCCTATCAACACATTTATCTTGGAAGGTATTGGAAGTAATTTTCTTCCCCTTGGGAAGGAGACAGCTCACAGCTCTCACTGCCTTGCATCTGCTGGGCTGGTCGTTATTCAAGCAGCAGGATAACTGCTGCCATGGCAGCTCAGCTCCAGGGATAGAGGGGATTTCAGGTCTGCAATGCTTCCATGAGAGTCTGGCTCTGAAAGACACTTGTATAATTGCTGGAACAAACTTGCAGGATAACTGTGTGATCTTTGGTTATAAAGCAGTAGCTGTTCTGGTAGGGTAAACAGAGTGAGAAGGGAGACCCCTCTTCCCATACAGGAGGAATTTGTAAGCTATGGAAGTGAGGAGCTGAACAAGAAGCTGAGAGCTGCTGTAGCAGTCACTGTATGCCCAGAGCATGCCAGTTGCTAGGACACCCGTGTTTCATAGTGAGAGCAGATAGTTTAACTTCTCCCTTTTCTCTCGGGCATCACTGTTTTCCCAACAGAAGGTGTTTCCCACTGTCCATAACCATTTCACTCTTGGATGTGTGAACATTTCTCAGCGTTGTACACCTAGAAATCAAATTGCTGTTTTCAATCAGAAAAAGGTCTTGAAAGACTTTATTAGAGAACTGGTTCCTCAGACTGCCTGAATCCTGCATTGCATTACTACACATGGAAGTCTGATGATCATGCACTCATATGCCTGAGCTTATTCAGCCAATGTTGAAAATCTTTTGAGGCATAAAAGTATTATCAATATCAAAATTGGCATTAAAATAAAAATCTTGTTATTTCTTAGTGTTTTCTGGCCAGCCCCACATTGGCAGCACAGTAAGGTAAGCATACCCAATAAGGCTTCAGGTTGAGTAGTCAATTCTCCATGCCATCATTACACTTGCACACAGTTGGTGTTGGACATTATTTTTGGAAGGGATTTCCAGTAACATTCAAGTAAGGTCACGAATCCGATTATAACCTGTTGTGTGCATTTTTAGCACTGACTTCATTGGAATTAAAGAAGAGAATGCAAAATGCCATTAAAGTCCTGTGAGAATGTGCTGTTTTACATACACCTGCAGAAAAAGAAAAAAAAAAAAAGAAAAAAAAAAAGCCAGCTTCCATTGGCAGAAGATACTGTTCTAGAACCATTAGGGTAGATACTATAGAAGTGTGGTAAGAAATGTTACCTGAAGATGGTGTCTTAAGAGCTACATATAGGCATGGAAAAGTCTTTCAGCAAATGCCTGGGCATTTTTTAGTTGTCAGTTTTACTGATAGGTAGTGCTTTTGTGTAGTGCAGACAGGCTCTCAGTGCCTGTATGCCTATGCCTATTTATTCAGTAGATGCTGGTGTCTGAGTAATCCTCATGAAACATGAAGCACAGTGAGTGACAAAGAAACTTATCTAACTGTCATTTGATGTTTGTACTGGCAATGAACCTGCCGTGTGATTTCCATTTATGCTACTCTGAAGTAGTTTACGATAATTGTCACTCATGGTACCATTGTGTGTGGATATGAAGGTCCATAAAGAGGTAGATTAAATGTGTGGTTAATCCAAGTACTATAAGAAATAGATACTTAGAAATATTTGTACCTTTTGGGCGTTTTTTAAGGGATTATTTCTCTGGTTGTCTTTCATTTCTTTACATATTTTGGGAAAGAGCAGAAATACATTTTTTTAATGATTCTCCTCTCAGTAGTAATTCCTGAAGATAGCATCTTAGGATCCATATAATTTGTGTTCTGAATCAAATATGAGTCTGTATCAAAGGGGTTTATTTAACCTATAACAAAGAAATAATCCCTTGGCCAACAATCAGCCCATTGAAATCCAGACGATTTCTGCCAGTTACAGACAGGTTTTTATCCTAGGATCCTGCATTTCATAAATGCATCCTACAACACACTGATTTGTCCTGGGAGCTGTATTAAAGGAGAAAAAAAGGCGTTCCCTTTGTTCTTGGAAACCATTATATACCTCTTCTAAATAACAATGACACAACTAACTGAGAAAGAGGCATGGTTAGTTCCTCTGAGCAGGTTATTCTTGTTTTCCTGAAAAGTTTGATGCACTTCTTGCATCAAATTGTAGCAGAAGATACATCAGCAGAAGGCGATTTCCACGTTTCCGAATGTGATAGTCTGCACTGAGATGTGTGGAGCAGAGTCCAGCGGATATGGGCTTCACTCCTGGGTGATGCCAAGATTACTTCTTGAATCTCTTGCTATTCATGAGGATATCATTATTGAGATATTAGTCATTTCTTTTTGGGCTGGGTAGATTAACTTCCAGTCTGAAGTTATTGCACCATCAGATAAAGAAGTCATATATGGATCACAGTCCCATAGTCCAGACGAGTAATGTGGACCCGCTGTGCGTTGCTAATTGTCAGGGACAGGGCACAGGCTCTTGTCTGTTGCTCGTGGATGTGGGTTTTCATTTCATCCAGGCATCACCTGGATTTGTGCAGGCAGCTCATGCTTTCTCACGCCGGTGAGCCAGCCTGGCTGGACATAAGCCATCTCTTCTCCAGAAGCCATGTAGTCACCTGAGCCCTTGTTCCTGGTCAGCCAGATATGAGTCAGCCCCAGCCTAGAAGCCATGTAACCATTTACAGCACGTGTAGAAGAGATGCGCAGCTGGGCACTCATTCCCAAATGAGCCATAAGTGGCCAAAGACAAGACTGAGTAAGAAATGATGTCAGTAGAAAATGGTAAGTGAACTTTACATTCATGTAGATTAATTGCAAATTCACCCCTCATCAAACACAAAACCAACCTAAACGGTGAAAATTGTATGCGTTTTTAAAGATCTTGCACTTTACTACATTTTTTTTACTTTTATTTTATGTCACATAGTTGTCTTAACGCAAAGAGAAGCCATAAGAGCCCAGAAGACTAGCTTTGGGTTTCTAAATAAGGGGATAACGAATTTTAAAGTGAAGAATCCATTTCGCATCTTTGTTTAAGGTATGATGTAAAATACCATCAAACAAATGTACAGTAAAGCAGGATCTGGTTTTGCCTTAGTGGAGCTGTGAGTAAGTCAGAGGGCGTTTGCTCATACTCTTGAGATTCCCTGTGAGACTGTACAAAATGCTGCACACTGCCTTTGCAGCAGGAGCTCAGTCCTGCCATGCGTGTTCACCCCAGAAGAAGGAATACAATGCTCGCAGAGTCAGGCCCAAGGACGCAATTAAATCCTCCTGTTACTCCAACACATTGTCTCACCAAGACCACTGTAAAGGAAGGCCCCCATAATTTAGAAAGTGCATATAATCCAGGTAATTCCTGTCACATCTTTTCTAGAAGAAAAAAAAAAGGTAAGTATTTTATGGTCGGGCTATCCAACACCAATCAAACACTTCTTTTAATCCCCTGTCAAAATCAGGTAGTGTCAAAAGGAATTTGTTTGGCTTTGTGTTCATTTCCATTACCAAGATCTCTGTTACGCAGTCCTAATTTTGCAGTCCTGACTCTGGGGAATTGATTCCCGTGAGTGGGAATTATTTCTGTCATTAGAGGTGGCAAGATCAGGCCTCTGTGTTGTCATGTGAAAGTAACTGTAGCATGCTATAACTGACAATCAAATGCTATTTTTGTAATACAGATTTTTTAGCTTGATTGTTTCAATTTGTAGTTTTCATACTTTTCCATCTCTCATTTTCACCTTATTGTGATAAAAACCTGATATCCCCCATCTTACTCGTTTCAAACATAAAAAAATACCACCATGGAAGATGGTCCAAGCAAGCCCCAGAAAATTCCAGTTTTTCTCTTATGTTTATGTGTATGGATCATTACTCACTATATGAAATTCGCTTATTTCTGAATCATTGTATTCTCCGTGATTATAAGTTTGTACATAGTATGAAAGTTATATTTATTTGTACATAGGCTCTGGGAAATAATCCCTTTTATCAACGGTCCTACTTCACTGCATCTACAGAATGTTTCACTGTGTTGTGTACACTTTTTCCACATAAATATGTGAAACTTATGATATTGATACAGCTTTTCATCTAAATCACTTTAAGTAATTAAGTTGTTTAAGTGTGAATAACAATAACAACAATAAATAATAATATAAAAACATTTGACAGCCTGTCACTTTGCTCAGTATTTTCTGTCTTAATTTTCTTGGACCCAGCATGGCTGTGAAAATAGTTTTTTAACTGCTTGCTGAATGAGGATCTGTGTGGCTACTATTAATTGTAAGTGTTAAAGCCCCTCTCAGTTGCCTCTTGCCATGTCACTGTCCTACTTGCTGTGCGTACACAGAGCAAGAAGGACATTTGTGTTTGAGTGAGCTTAAAATCTAGTTAAATGAGAATTTTTCACTAACAATCCAGTATGAATCTACCAGACAACAACTTCCTGAAGGTTGTCTGTTGTCCTGTAGCCGCACTGGGGCTGAGTTTCCCTGCATTTCTTCACTGACGTTTCCTCGCAGGTTCTTTTAAAAGCAGCTCTTTAGTTTTACACCTTGTTGTTTACTGCTCAGTCTTACATGCTTGCAAACTAGGATATTTGGTTTTTTTTTTTTTTTTTTTTTTTTTTAGTTTGTGGCTGGATGAATGATGCTTTTAAACAAAATAGCCTTCAATAGATAACAACAAAAGAAAATCAGTAATGTTAATAATTTCCCATAATCAAGCTGACTTTCCAGCAAAGAGGACACCACAAGCTATGCAGGGCACTCTGCAATTTTATTTGACCAAAGAGACCTTATTACTTACTGTCCTGAAAGTTCCAGGGCTCATAGAGGTTTTTAATTCATCTTTAACCAAAAGTTTAAAAATCCTGATTGGAAAAGCACAAGAAGTTTACAAGTACAGTACGCATTGAGAACAGTGTCCTGAGATATTCATGCCTGCCAAATGGGGAAAAAAAAACCAAAAACAAAAACAAGAAAGTGAAACATCCTACAAGAAAACAAAGCTGCGGTATGCTCAAACCGTGCCAGCATCTGATTCCTGCCTCAGCTGTCACTACTCCTTAAAGGAGGCAGCAGATTTGAAATCCTCCATACCACAGCAGGCCTTGATGGTGTAAGGAGGAAGAAAAACATGTTTAATCACCTCCTCAGTCCTCTCCAGGAGAATGATGGAAAGTCTCCTTGCCTTATGTTTCCTCTGCTGCAGGCAAGTACTTCACTGCCTCATCCACACTGCCTGGTAAAAACAAACCTCTGCGCACTCACTATTGCTGTTTCATTGATAAGGACTTTTTGGAGGGGTCACTGACAGGGAGAAAAGTGCTGTGATGTTAAAACTGAGTATTTGATCCCTTCTCTGGGAAGGCTTCAGAGCTTCTGTTTAAAAGGGAATTCTGTCAGCGCCTCTTTCAGAGAAATAAATATTTGTGCCAAACACTTGTAGAGGACACACAGATACAGATTATCGCTCTACAGGATGTTCGAATCATTCTGTCATCTCCTGTTTAGGCAAATTTCATTATCATTGTTTTGTATGACATTCACTTTTTGTGGGCAAGGGTTTTTTGGGGGCCTTGAGGTGCCAGTGCTTAGGCCTTAAACCTACAGCAATTCTCTCTGAAGCCTCAAATACAAATGCTACATGGCACCAAGTTAGGCATTTCAGTGACAGACTGGGAAGAATCTTTGAATGAGCCAGAGTTAACTCCAGATCTCTGGAGTACCTGCAGCCATGTTTCACCAGTCTACAGGCAATGATGTGTGTAAGTGTGTGCAAACAAAAGCCTTCCACTACAGCTTTCCCCAGACAGCTGCATTAGATGTACAAAAATGGGACACGCTTGTTCCTCACTAATGGGTGAGTCCCTGCAGCAGAGCTGGGTCTGAGCCTTGGAAGAGGTCTGTCTTGCAGTTTGAGGTGCATTGCCAGGGACAGCAGGCCAAGCACTGAACATTTAGTTCAGGAACAGAGCAGAGAACAGGACGGGTGGGCAGGGAGGGGAAGTACAAGGAAAACTGATAAGAAAGTTATCAGTTATAATTCATTTCTAGAATTACTCTTGTTAGACTGCTTTCCTTCCTGTCTCCCTGCAGACTGGTATAACTGTATTGTAAAATGACAGAACAGTAATCAGTTTGGTGACAGCAAAAAACACAGACCTCACATGCTTATCTCATACTCTTGGTTACTAACTAGGTTGAGGGAAAAGGAAAATTGCTCAAGAATTTTCTAGCTCCCTATGAACATCTATACCTACGTGTGTCATCACTTCTCATTTACTTGCCTAGATACCATGCCATACTGCAAGGCTAGATTTGGGCTCCCATGGCAATGACCAACTCTCGCTAATTTGGCTTCTGCATTTTCTTGTCTCAGGGATTGCAGCATGATCCTTTACAGTGAGGAGATGTTGCCGGCCAGAACTTACTCTGATGAGCTTATGGACCTCACAACATGCAAGATTCTTCAGAAGAGTTAGTTTTGGTATTGGAAAACTTGTATTCATCCAGGGTTCAGTGTTTCTGGCTCTATCAGAAGCATCAGTAAACTCTCATTGGAGAAAATAAGAAAAAACCTCTTAGGTTGTTGTCCTGGTAAAGGCAAGACAGTGAGGCCAAATCTTCCCTGTCTTCAGCACCATTTCTACTGTTCTACTGCTCTAGGCCTCTCCACACCTCTGCCATCTCCACTCCCCACACTGCCCAGACCTTGAAATAAAGGCTGTCATAAAAGGGTACTCCATGATTAAAGGCAGGCAATGCCCAGAGCATGAGGTCTTGTTTTAAGATTCAGGTAGTGGGAAGGACTCTCACCAAGAGCTAAACCCTGAGCCCTGGACAAATGGGAGTGAAAAAGCTTTAGTGCAACTGATTCTCAGCTTGAACATTTGTTTTATTTAAACCTCAGAGTTTCAAACTTTTCCAGTTTAATTATATCTCAGGCCACCTGTGTTTATGTAATCTATTGGACACCAAGGAGAAGTGTAGCCTTGCTTTCTGTAGGAAAGAGCAGAGTAGGGGATTGATGCCAACACAACACTCCAGGTGCACTCCAGGCACTGCTGTCCTTCAGACAAGGCCAATTTGCCCACCTGACAGCATGATTCATGCTACTTTTAGCTGTCCTTGGTACAAGTAAGCAAGTGAAAGTACAGAGACGAGGGTTAGCTCTGTAATCATCACCTGGTGTCATGGAAGGAAAAGGGAGAAATTTACATTAGTATCACTCTATTCATGTCCTCATCCATTTCACAATGGGTTTGTGCCAAAGTCTGGGTGCCAGGAGGAAGGTGATACTAATTTACATGCACTCATTATTTAACCTGCCTTGGTGAACTCATCAGTCCTGGCTTACAGAAGGGAAATAGAAAAAAAATATATTGGCATAATGTGCCCTGGTATCTGTTGTAAATTGGCTGAAGCAGCTGTAGACACAAAATTCAAGATGCAGGACTAATAAGAAGAGGGCTGTGGCAATGGTCAAAAAAGATATCTAGCAGCCATCAGTTCTACCACAAACAGCATCAGGAAGAGCTTGGCACACTCATCTCCCAGAGAAGCATTGCTCCTAGGAAGTGCCAAAAGAGGCAGGTGGATTGCAGCACAAGGTCATGTCCTCAGTGCACACAAGCAGTCTCATCTGGATTAATAAATGGCAACACATGGCTGCCAAAGCCCTCATTTTTTTGGAATTGCATCAATACCAAAGTGTCCAGCAGCAGGTGTGTTTGAGGACACTTACAGGCAACCATCCATGCTGTCAAGGAGACAACAATAAAACCCCTAATGCAGGAGAGAGCAATGTATAGCAGAGACACACAGAGTAAGCAGGGAGTCAATGTGTTCTTGTTCCAAATTTATACTTACCTTAGCATTATGGCAGCTGTTCTACTCACCAGCCAAAATCCCTGCTGGCAACCTTGCAACCAAAGCATCATCCTCTGGGCTGAATGTCACACAATAAGGGCAGCAACGGGGAACTAGCAGAGAGCACTGACTACCTCTGCCAATAAAGAGCAAGTCCCTACACAAAATTCCGGCTTTCTCCAAATTGCCACTGTGGAAAGCATATCTTTCTCAGGCTTAAGTGATGGTCAATGGCTTATGGTCTGGTTCAGCCCAGCTCTTGACTAGCAGTGCGGAGGGATTTCACAAATTCACGCCACCAGAAAAGGGAAACAGGGGACCCCAAAATAATTAAAACAATCTGAGGCAACAATCTGAGGAGAAACAAACTAATTTACTAAATACAGTATCGGAATGCAAGATAACACACTATAATACAATATAATTGTAATTGAAGCTAATAAATCAAATATAATGAGAGAGAGTGTCCAAAAGATGGATAGGCCTCACCATAAAGCTGAGGTGAGATGCACAGGTTGAGCAGCATGGAGGAGAGCCTAACAAAGAGAGCATCAGGTGACCTTGCCAGGGTCTCATCTCTGACCACAAAGCCCCCTGGGGAATGTAGTTCTTCTTCTCTTCCAAACAGGTACCCGGAATTGGAGCACTGACACTTTAACTCCCAGTGCACTATATGATGTTATGATGTGGAATACAGATAACCAAAAATCATAAAACCATGACAGTGATGAATCTGCTGGTCTTCGTTAGCCACACAGAAAGTGGCTTCTCAACTGGAGCCATGTAGGCTGAATTTCCTCAGCCCCACAACATACCTGGGAAGACTGCAGTTGTTTTCGTTCTACACACAATTGCATTCCATTGTTTCCTCAGAAACAGCTGGTGGAAGAGCCCTCAGAAGAAGGCAGGCCCTGAGTGAAAACGTTCATCTGCCCATCATCAGCAGATGCATGAACTCTCAATGCAATGCACAACTGACCAGCAGGATGCAAGCAGTGGTTTGTCCAGGTCAGTTGCATCTGGAGGTGCATGCAGGCCACATAGCCTTTTCCCTGATGACAGCCAATGAGTCAGCAGCAGAGTGAAAAAGGCTTTGCAGTCTTTCAGAAGAAAGGACGGGGAAATACATCATCATTTGGAACTTAGAGGGAAATACAAATGGGAGAGTCCTTAGTGAATCTCTTTCCATAAGTTAGCATCCTTCTTAATGACAGTTAAAATGCAGGTAGTTTGAATGAACTAGCAACCAGAAAATCCAAGTTAACTTAGGACAAGTTATTTTTCTAGCCAC